AATTCCTGGGGAAGCGCTACGAGATCTTTCACTCGCATTTTCCCCATCTTCCCACGGGGCTGGATGCGTCCTCGGCTGACGCTTTCGATCTTTTCTTGTCCGTGCTCACGTAGGACAGACCTAAACCTCTGGTTTTGTCCCCTCTGTCTTCCAGTACGCCCTGGATAACACCAAGCAGCTCTCGGTCACCCACCTGTGCAGCATCATCCTGTCTTTTGCTCGCCTGAACTTCCAGCCCAGCGGAAACGAGGACTTCTTCAACATGGTAACCTTCTTTCTTTGCCCTCCGCTCTTCATCCGCCTTTCTCCTTCCCTGGTCGTTGAGAAGACCGCAGATCTCCCTCCACCGTGTCGGATGGCTCGAGCCAGCTGGAGAACGTGAGAAAGGGGGAGCCCAGAGCTCAGGCTGGGCTGAAAACCCGCAGTTTCCCGGGCAGTAGCTGAACCAGTTACTCTGTGGCTGCCTCCAGTCCCCACACACTCACCTTTTTCAGCAGACACTCAGTGTGTGGATGTTCACGTGCCCTCCTGAACCTTGATTGCTGTAATTAACTCTTTATAACGAGGCCAGAGGTGTTGACGGTTGCAAAATGACTCGATCTGAGGCATTGGGGAAAAAAAAAAAGTTCTCTAGGAGGAAACCACTTCTGGGTGCAGAGCTCCAGGCTCTTGCTGCCTGGACACACATCCTGACACCCTCTCAGACGCCTCCAGCTCCATTTAGGGCAGGTTTGAGGTGCAGATCCTGAAGAAGTTATTGCTTCCAGGCCTCTCTTTTCTGAAAATTGCCCTCTGCCAGAGCGTGTTACCCCCATCTGCCGTGGTGGGTCTTGTTAGAATGATTTTAAAACGTCCCCTCGGCAAATAACAAGGGGAGAAGCGTCACTGCAGAGGAGCAGGTGCACCATACGCCTCGGGGATGTGGTGGCCTCGAGGTCGAGGCGGCGGCGGCGGCACCGATGTGAGCTGAGCTGTTGGGTTTCCCTTCTCCGCAGGTCCACGAGGAGCTCCAGGGCCGGCTGGGGGACCTGGAGCCTCACCTGCTCACTGACCTGGTGTGGTCACTGTGCGTGCTGCAGCAAGCCAAGGCGCCCTACCTGCAGCGAGTGCTGGCACCCGACTTCCACGCTCGCATCCGAGGTGAGGGAACCTCAGACCTAGCACAGGGAGCCTCATACCGAGCCGGGTCCGCCCAGTTTTAAGTTAACAGGTTGTTAACTGTTAATTGGGTTATCCTCCCCTCTTTTCTCCCTGCCTCATCTCGTGCCCTGAGACACACCTTCCTGCTCCGGCACTGCCCACCCACTTCCGGCACAACCTTGAGAAGAGACGGGAGGGTTTTGGTGTTTCCTAACCAAATACGGTGACTGCTGGGGAGGCGCAGCCCTGTCAAATTCGGTCCTTGCCTCCTCCGTGGCAGGGACTGGCCAACCGGCTGCTACAGCAACTTCTGTCGTCTGTGAGACCCTGCGTCCCCTTCCCGTGGGATGCCCCGGGGGATAAAATCACACCACGGACATCGACGTTTGGCCGCTGGTCACCTGTGTCTCGATGCCAGCAGGCAGGGACCCATCCCAGAGGGGTTGGAACAAGGAATCCCGGCGAGACAGGCTACAGGGTGAAGAGCCACGACCCAGCTGCGGGGTTTGGGCTGTGTCCCCAGCTCCGCTTCTCTCTTCCCACCAGGCGATCGCTCTCTCAAGGCGCAGAATTTACGGCTGAAGCTCGCTCACATCAATGCCACCGCCAAGCTGGAAAGCCCCGACTACCAGGGGCCGTTCTTGCCGGCGGAGATGCTGAGTGCGGCGGAGCCAGCGGCGCCAGAGAAGGTCACCTTCCTGCAGAGCAGCCTGAGGGAGGCCTTGGCGGGGGGGCTGGGGGGCCAG